CAATACGAGCCAAACGACTCAACAAAATTATCTCTGAGTGCTGCTGGTTCTGAAGGAGAAATCCTTACATTAGGCACGCGACAGGAGTGATATGTGACAATTGGTCCAGCCATCAGTGCAGGCATGTTTCTAAACTGTTTGAGGAACTGATTGATCAATATTTTAAGTTAATGTGCACTTTCTTTGTATTTTTGACTGTGCATTTGTTGTTAATACTTGGCTTTCGAAATCCGTGATTCAGTAAAAACAGTGATGTATCTGAAGATGATAAAACAAAATGGGTTTCATTTCCTTGATGCAGGAAATGGTGTCTTCTTAATTAAGCATTACATTTCCTGACATTCTGCTTGGTCACTTGCTATTTTATATTCATCAGCATTAACTTTTTTTTTAGTATGTGCAACAAGTTTTGCTCAAGCTTTGTCCAGTCAGTCTTTACTTGAGATCTTAAGGCTTAAAAAAAAATTCTGTTGACACCTTCTGTCTTTCTAGATCAGTGTTTATCAGTGTCCGCCCCCTCCCCCCTGAAAAATTATCATCATCATGTGCCATGCCAAAAAATCATTGGTGTTCATTAGTCGCCACACTATACGGTCATCAGATTCTTGGATCAGATGGTGCTCCTGTATCTCCCCATGCAGTTTGCCAAGCCATCAAGCTATTTGCCTCTCTGCTTTCCCCCCATCTTCTTTCTATGAAAATAGTTAATTGTCACAGAGTTCTTGAGTCTGTTCCTTGCATTGAAATATGCCTTCTGTAATCAAACAAGCAGAATGATATCGTGGCAATTTTGTTTTGTATTGTCTTTCTTTCCTCGCCTTACAACATTCCCTGTTCTGTAATTTTTATAGTCTTCTCTCTAGTTTAATGCATCATAGATTGTTTTAAGGCTATCTTTGGCATTTTGAAGCTCAGAGACAGATGGGGGGCTGCATGAGGTTTCCTGTAGCCTTTGCATACTCTACTTTTCCATTTCTATGGATCCATACTAGAGTGAAATTTACTGCTGCACTAGTTCTGTTCTTGTAGACATCATTCAGATGTTGAATTTTTATTTTTATTTTAAATTTCATAGTTGATGCTGTCTTGTTTAGAGTGTGATAGCTTTGAGGACTGATTTTACATATGTGAATATGATAGATTTTAATTTATTTAAACTGAAGTATTGGAGAAAACTTCACTGAAGATTGCACAGGACAGGAAAGCATGAAAAGTCCTCTCTGAAGCCTCATGTTCCACTAGGCATAACGAGAACTGATGATGATTGGGAGGCTTCCCTACAAAGATATCCAGTAATATATTTTTTTACCTCAGAAAATTGACAGTATACATTTTTGTGTTTTCTTGTTGTTGCTAAAAGTATGGACATTCTGTTTCACTATTATGATTAATAATTTACTGCTTCTACTTGGTAAACTGGACTATCTACTTCCCTAATATGTCAAGTTCTCTATTTAACAGCAACAAAACTAGACATTCTGTTTCACCTATCTGTCAAATAATCTACTGTTTTTCATCTATAAAACTGGACTATCTACATCAATAATATGTCCTACATATTATCTATTACACATTAATAAAAGTGGACAATCTACGTCACTTATATTACCAATAATCTACTATTTGCCCTAAAACAATTGACAGTTTACTTCACTAATATGCCTAAAAACTACTATTTTCATTAACCAAAAATCTACTTTACTAATATAACTGAAAAATTTAATATTTTTAATGAAAGAAATGGACAATTACTTCACCAGTATGACTGTGTTTTGTTTTTTTAAACTGCTATTTTCACTAAGAAACTTGGACAATTTACTTCACCACTATAACTAAACAATCTAATATTTTGACTTAACAAATGGCTAGTCTACTAAAAAAAAAACGTTCACTAACAAACTTGGATAATTTACCTCACTATTTTTTGCAGGCAATAGCTGATGGTATCAGTGTGCTTGTGCATTGCTCTGATGGCTGGGACAGAACTGCCCAAACTTGTTGCCTAGCTCAGCTGATGTTGGACCCTTACTACAGGACACTGCAGGGATTTATGGTAGGACCATCAGTTTGCTACACTACTGAGACAAGTAATGTCTATTAATGTTTCTTTTCATGTTTATTTTTTAAAATTTCCTCTTCATCACTCTGTTGTGCCATAATACACATGTAGTGTTCCCAGTTGATTTTTGTGCTTTATTCCGTCTTGTGTAACTGTTTCAATATCATGAATGGAATTCAGCCCAGCACCATTGGCCTTTCTCATCAGCGTTTATCTCAGGGTTTCTTTGAGGTGTCCACGTCTCCTCCACATTTGTGTTTCCCACATAAGTGTCTGTTTGGTGAGTCTCTGTTCACTTGTTCTCAGGATGTGCTCAGTATAGTCTATTCTACAAGTTTCTGTAGCATATTCTTTTTTTTTGTTACACATCCAGCTTGTTCAAGTTTCTGTAGCATAATCTTTTTGTTACACATCCAGCTTGTTCAAGTTTCTGTAGCATATTCTTTTTTTTACACATCCAGCTTGTTCAAGTTTCTGTAGCATATTCTTTTTTTTACACATCCAGCTTGTTCAAGTTTCTGTAGCATATTCTTTTTTTTACACATCCAGCTTGTTCAAGTTTCTGTAGCATATTCTTTTTTTTTTTTTTACACATCCAGCTTGTTCCAAGTTTCTGTAGCATATTCTTTTTTGTTTACACATCCAGCTTGTTCAAGTTTCTGTAGCATAATCTTTTTGTTACACATCCAGCTTGTTCAAGTTTCTGTAGCATATTCTTTTTTTTACACATCCAGCTTGTTCAAGTTTCTGTAGCATATTCTTTTTTTTACACATCCAGCTTGTTCAAGTTTCTGTAGCATATTCTTTTTTGTTTACACATCCAGCTTGTTCAAGTTTCTGTAGCATATTCTTTTTTTTATTTACACATCCAGCTTGTTCAAGTTTCTGTAGCATATTTTTTTTTTGTTACACATCCAGCTTGTTCAAGTTTCTGTAGCATATTCTTTTTTTTATTTACACATCCAGCTTGTTCAAGTTTCTGTAGCATATTTTTTTTTGTTACACATCCAGCTTGTTCAAGTTTCTGTAGCATATTCTTTTTTGTTTACACATCCAGCTTGTTCAAGTTTCTGTAGCATATTATTTTTTACATTGTTGGGGAGGGGGGGGGGGTGTGGGGTGTGGGCCAATGCCAAACCTCCTTCTTTCCCTTGTTGATTAAGGATTGATTGGCAGTGGTGGAGATTGGTGGGTTACTACTCTGCTGCTTTTTTTTCTGCCTAAAAAAATAATTAAGTGAGAATCTATTGGGAATAGAGCCAGACATTTATTTGTATCACCCAGGAAGTGTAATTTCTTTGTTTTTTATCGTGACTGAACTTTAAGTTAAACTGGCTGATCATTATTGTACAAAGTTGAGGGTATATGCTGCACTTCTTACTGGTCACACTATGATTGCCAGGTTACTTTCTGTCTTATTTTTTAATTGTGCTGTCCTATGAAAGATTTATCTCTAGTTATTTGCTAGCTTTTGTAGGTTATCTGTGTCATTTCCATATTGCTTATAATGCTGTCTTTAATATGTTGGTATTTTTATTTAGAAACATTGTAGCATATTATTTTAAAATGTACCAATTGCGAGTTTATTAATGTGAGATGCATGACAATAATATACAAGTGTATCATTTTGTCAAAACTGAAATCAGATGACCTGTAAACTGCACTAAGAGAATATTCGTAGAGCTTGCACAGAGACTAGGCACATTTTTGCAGTGAAGATATTTATAAAGATTAGATTTTATTCAGACTAAAGAGTAAACAAGATAAACATTTGGAGAACATTTCACAGCTTGCAGTCACATTCAGGTGTAAGAATGTCAGTTAAAACCAAACACAGCCATCCAGTATGACCATGTGTTGATTGTTAAAGCAAAAGACATTTTTTTAATTCTTACATAAAAAGCATAATATAACTCTTGGCATGTTATGGCCGTCTAGGTGTATCGATGAAAACAATAACACATAGAACCTGCCATCTTTCTCTGTCTTCTGCTTGTTAAACAAAATGTTTCTTACACTTTTATTTCTTTAAAATGTGTTTAACAGCAAGAAGATTGACTTCATTACACCAGGTTTTGTTCCATATGGCTTGGTCAACCTTTGAAAAGTGGCTGATTTCCCATTGCAGAGAACAACACATAGTGCATCAACTCCTGCAGCTCCAACAGAAATGTTCCAGCATTCATACTAAAGAAAACTTCATTTTAATCTGAGTCCTCTAACAAGCCTCTTGCAAGTGCTCCTCAGTGATGGTTATTACATGATAATAAATGTATAATAACTGACTGGCACTCATAGAATCTTACTGTGTTCGTAAATTGTTGCTGCGATTGTTATTCGACATTTGCTTCGTTAATATAAATTTCTGTAACCTATGGTGCCATTTAAATGGGTTGAAATGAATTCTGTCCGTATTCCATAGTCGTGGATTTCAAGCTGTACGATAGACATGGCCAATGAGACACCTTTTTTTGGGGGTGCCGAGTTGACCATGTATCTTAGTGCACTTGTATTCATGGCGAGGCGCAGACGCCGTCTGGAGGTGACAGGTTCAATTCCCGGCACGGTAACTATAGCTTTCGATTTTTATGTTGTCTAGTGTGTTCTTCTATCTTTCTACTTCTTTCTATGAGTGCCGTTCACAATACTTTCTGTTACTTGATTAATTCATAATATTTAACGGCTTCAAATGGTTCCCCCCTCTGTTTATTTATAGGAATGACGTATACACACCGGAACCTACCAACAAATACCTTTCTTAAATGTTTGTGTATTCTAGACAAAGCAATAAGGTCTTACTGTGTTCGTAAATTGTTGCTGTGATTGTTATTCGACATTTGCTTCGTTAATATAAATTTCTGTAACCTATGGTGCCATTTAAATGGGTTGAAATGAATTCTGTCCGTATTCCATAGTCGTGGATTTCAAGCTGTACGATAGACATGGCCAATGAGACACCTTTTTTTGGGGGTGCCGAGTTGACCATGTATCTTAGTGCACTTGTATTCATGGCGAGGCGCAGACGTCGTCTGGAGGTGACAGGTTCAATTCCCGGCACGGTAACTATAGCTTTCGATTTTTATGTTGTCTAGTGTGTTCTTCTATCTTTCTACTTCTTTCTATGAGTGCCGTTCACAATACTTTCTGTTACTTGATTAATTCATAATATTTAACGGCTTCAAATGGTTCCCCCCTCTGTTTATTTATAGGAATGACGTATACACACCGGAACCTACCAACAAATACTTTTCTTAAATGTTTGTGTATTCTAGACAAAGCAATAAGGTCTTACTGTGTTCGTAAATTGTTGCTGTGATTGTTATTCGACATTTGCTTCGTTAATATAAATTTCTGTAACCTATGGTGCCATTTAAATGGGTTGAAATGAATTCTGTCCGTATTCCATAGTCGTGGATTTCAAGCTGTACGATAGACATGGCCAATGAGACACCTTTTTTTGGGGGTGCCGAGTTGACCATGTATCTTAGTGCACTTGTATTCATGGCGAGGCGCAGACGCCGTCTGGAGGTGACAGGTTCAATTCCCGGCACGGTAACTATAGCTTTCGATTTTTATGTTGTCTAGTGTGTTCTTCTATCTTTCTACTTCTTTCTATGAGTGCCGTTCACAATACTTTCTGTTACTTGATTAATTCATAGAATCAGTAGGAAGAAGCAGTGATGTAAGATCACACAAGATGACCTAAAAACAGAAAGCTGTAGTTGTCATACCAGATTTCTTTCTCTTCATCTTAGTGTTCACTGGCCCTAAACTCCAGCGGATAGTTCCGATTGTTAATCCATTTCTGGACTTTGATCTTACTCCAGAATTTGAGTTTAATGTGTACATTCATGTTATAGATCTGTACTTTTTTTTAGTTAGTTTAGTTTAGAGTATACAATGGATCAACATCATGGCACAAAAGGTAGTAACCCAAAAGTGCTCCGTTCTACCTCTAACTCAAGCCTGAGTCTGAAGAATCTCAGTGCAGTGCATTACCTCCATATCATGGACGAGGATCTTGAAATACTTTAGGTAGATTTTAAGCTCCAAATTGTGCCCGGGCATTAGGCTACTCTTTTCGATTTCCATCTGTTTTTTACGTGTGCAACAATACACATGTGTGTCTATTCTTACTATCAAGAGACTAGGGAAAACATTGGAAGTCCACCTGAAAAATCCCAGCCTTTATCAGGACCTGAACCCTAGGCCTCCAGCACTCGAAGCAGACGCCATGCCTTCTGACCACTCAACCCCCACCCCCTTCCTTTTTTAATACAGACTATTGGTTCCTTGCCTCTCATGCAGATACACTCTGCCCTTGAAGAAAACATCCCTAATTTGTTACCTTTTACAACATGCTGGGGGGGGGGGCAGTGATTATATCCCAACCCCTTTACACGCACAGACACAATAGGGGCCCCAGAACCAACGCAAGGAATATCAGGATTTGAACCTCTAACTTTCAAATGATGACATTGCCTTGTTAAACAAGTATACCTTGTGACATAACCAACTAGACATTCCTAGGCGTCTTTTTAGCAACATCAGTTATGCACCTCCAACTGTTTATAATGGACATACTTTATTCATGTATACTATAGGCTACAGAATGTATGTTAACTAAATATTTGTTCATGTTATTCCAGCAGGTTCCCCACAAACTGAGACCAGTTTTAGTTATATGTCATGTTATTGTTTTACAGTCATAATGAAGCACACATGAAGATTAAAATATATTTCATGATTTCAGGCTTTGATTGAGAAAGAATGGCTGTCATTTGGACACAAGTTCACTGATCGTTGTGGATTTCTGGACAGTGTAGACCCAAAAGAAACATCCCCAGTATTTACCCAGTTTCTGGAGTGTGTTTGGCAGATTATGCACCAAGTCCCTTGTGCTTTCCAGTTCAATGAAAGATTTCTTTATACAATCCATGACCATGTGTATTCATGCCAGTTTGGCACATTTATTGGCAACTGTGAGAAGGATAGGCTTGATCTGAGGTACTAGGATTTTTATTTTACAAACTTTATCACTAGGTTTAATTTCCCAGTCGGTGATGTATTTGGGTTAGTGGTTGTGAGCTCATTTTTTTACAATTCTGAGATAGCGAGGTTTAAAGCCAGGCAAAAGCAATTCTGTAATAGATGGGGATGAACTGGTTTTTATATTACGAGAATGAGCATAATACTATTCAGAAAACAATTGCAAACTTCTTAACAGTAAACTGCCTATTATAAACCATAAACAGTAAATTCTGGAACTGTTTTATGGTGTCCCGAAAAGATATGCAACTATCTGATTTTACCATTCAGTTGGTAGAATTAGGATAGTTGCATTTCCATTTCAGGACATTGCAGACCTAGCCTTAGCCTTTTCTTTATTGGGAGCTGTTGTGGTTTTTTTGGGGGCAGATTTTATGTTCACTAGTTTACCTTTGCTTTCTGAAAGTCAGCTCTTGGTACCACTATAAAAAAAAAAAGCAAGGCCTTATGTTGCCAAATCGTCTACAGCTGGGATTAAACCCTGGACACTGGCATTACAAAGCACAGTCACAGACACTGACAGTTTAATAGTGGTGTCATAATAATCTCATAACTGCATCACTTTGCTGGACCATGACCGAATCTAGCTGACGGGCTGTGCTGCTGACGTCACCAGGTCAGGCTAATGATGTGTTAAAGCAGCGGTTCTCAAACTGGGTGCCGAGGCAATAATCAAGAAAAGTCGGCTAAAAATTTTGAAATTATTAAAGATGGCATGTAGATACTTAAAAGTTAAAATTTAAGTTGTCTTCCCATGCCACTGTCAGAAATTGATTATTTCTAGCTTGGGAAACCCTACGTAGAACTATCATCAGGGAAAGCTCACTCATGGGCCACTCAAACATTCAAGACCTACAACAGATTGCAACGAACCGCCATGCATGGAGAGTCATGACCTTTGCCCTATGTGCCGCACTCGACACAAGAGGAAAGACTAACTAACTAACTAACTAACTAACTAGTGATTATTCTCCTTCACACACAAAATAAATGATTTTATCGCATTCGTGATTTATAGTGAGTGAAGAAAAAGACATTTGTCATATTTATCAAGTTGGCTGCCACCATGAAGCAGTGGCCTTAATTTTCTGCTGTCTTCTCTGTGGTCATGGGTTCAAGTCCCTGGACTTTTATAAAAACTGACCAAGATCCCAAATTTCTTCTGCTTCTTCTCTTCCCCTTCCCTAGTTTTTTAGAGCTGAGTTTCAGAGAATTAAAAGGATGTGTTTTTAAAACAAAATTTAGAAAAGGTTTTTTTTTATTTTTGTATGTTGTGAAAATGTTAACTTAGTCTAAACTAGTTAACATTTACATAAACTCTTTTTACACCGGAGAATTTTCCTTCTTTTCTCAATGTTTTTTATACTTTTCCTAGCTCTGTATATCTATGGCAGTTGAATTTAATATAATAATCCTCTGAGTATTATGAATTTAACATAATATCTGCCTAAAGCAGAACAGGCTTTAGTAACAACTTCCCTAAATAATAGCTTGGTGCTTTATTAATATTCTACCCCAGATAGGGAAAATCCACAGGTCATGGGGCAGTCTGATATTTCAGGGGGTGGTAGATAGGCTGCATGCATTCGTGAGACCTAGGCTGCACTCTGTCCTGGGACGTAGGTGGGTTTGGGTTAGAACCAGTTCTAGATATTTTGGGGTCATTTAAAGCATCAGATAGCCTGGAAACCCAGTCTTACCAACCTCTAAAATGTTGGACTGTCCTGTGACATCATCTGGGTTAGGATATTAATAAAGAACCAATAGATTAAACAGTTTCACAAGAATTTCTTTTAGTTTTATCTTAACCAAGCAGGTATTGTGGCTGGCACCTTTCTGTCTTTCAAGACAATTGTTTTCCATTGTGATACAGTGTGGCATGAGAACCACTTCCCATGGAGACACCAGTTGAGCCAGGGATAAAGTTCATCCTCTCCATAGCACAACACCTGGACAGTATTGTAGACACTAAATATTGCCCAGCATGATCCCTCACTTATTTAGTACACAGGAAAAGTAACACCAATAAATTTGGAACAAAGCATGCTGCATAATATGCAGATAATAAGTATAAGCAAATGCTAATTGTGACATAGAATTAAAACTTTTATAAATTTGCAACTCTGAATATGTCAAATAAAATTTTACACAAATAATCAAACATGTTCATTTCTTGTTTGCCAGGTTGTTTGAAAGAACCTACTCCTTGTGGGGCTACTTATCTTATCATTCCAATGAGTTTCTCAACCCTTTGTACAAGAAGACATATGAGATGAAACTTCCAGTAATCATTCCAAGCACCTCACCTCAGGCTATCAAGTGAGTTTGCATCTTGTCATTTTAGTATTTATGTATTCTCCTTGTGGGTTCTGGGACCGATTGGGGAAAAGAAGGGTAGACTCACTCACTGCTTCTTACAAAAGCATGAAAAGAGATAGTCTTCTTATTCTTCTTCATGTTCACTAATTGTAAACTCCAGCAAAAAGTTATGATTGTTGGTCCACTTCTGGTCTTCAGTCCGGTTCCAGAATCTAAGTGTTGCATGCACATCCATTTTACAGATTTGACTCATTTGTATGCAGACTGTTGGTTCCTTGCCACTCAGGTAGACTGTAATCAGTGGGAAATCCTATGACATCAGAAGAGGTTTCCCAATGAAACAGGTCAAGAGTTCAAATGCCAGTTAGGAAAGAATTCGTGAGAAAGCATGTCCCAAGGGGGATTGTGAGTTTCATATGAATGAGTGAATGGTTGTGTGAAATCTCGTGAAGAGATGGGGACACGTGGACATGACAAAGAAGGAATAAGGATTTTGTGGGAGACAGTGGAGGGAGAAGTTGGTGTGACGGAGCAAGCATTTGAGAGAACCTGAATAGCTGACAGTGAAATCAAGTAACTGGCAAATGCAGAAGAATGACCGAGTGGATGATGGAAGCTTGTTGATAATCGAAGTCGAGAGAGAATGCTTGCTGTTTGCCAGTGACAATCAGCAGGAGTGAATAGCTGTGACAAATACAAACAAGCTGAAAATGTGTAAGCTCTCTGCGATTCAGAATAGATAGCAGCAGAGAAATACTTTCTAGACGAGTCAACAATAGGGACGGAGTTGATATCACTGATGGATCAGCAATAACAAATATGTGTATGTAAACTTGTGTTCATCTTGGTGTGTCATTACGACTAACTCAATCAGTGTAACAGGTGAGCTCCCAGGTCCATGTAGTCCTTCAACTAGACGAAGGCGAGTCTTTGCACTGATGCACACTGACTTCAAAGAAAGCTACCAGTTAATCTACTTTTATGACATGCTTTTAATTCTTGTTTTCCATATGATAGGGCCCTGGAACCGACAATAGCAGAAAGGGAAATAATGAAGGAATTTAAAAAAAATTAGATAAGTTAAGCTGAAAGGTGCAGATTTCACAGTCCAGCTGTAAACCACAACAAAACGTGCCAACTGGCCTTTCAAGGGCAAGCACAGAAGAAGAAGTGTCTATGTTTGGAAGCAGCTGTGTGGCTAATAGATTCCTTTTTTTAAAATCTAATTCACAAATGTCTGGTCATGCATGCAACAACAAAAAAATTATGATAAGGTAGTTCTGGCCAGAATGGAGAATAAGGCACGGCAAAATGTTAAGCTTCAAAGTTATTTTTGCTTCTGACAGCGCTTTGCTAATAAAGTTTCCAAGATGACCGGTAGTTTACAGTTATGCTGCCTAAGCTAATGAGTTTAGTGCTTGGTGCAGCCCTGTGAGCTGTTTTTTTCTGTGGAATGCCTTTCATGTTGTGCAGTGGTTGTGTCATGGAATTCAATAGGGCGGTAGCCAGTCTACACGTGAGCTGGTGAAATACCATATGTAATAATTGTAAATGTGTAAAGTAGTCAACTTGCAGTGCCTGACTACTTCTATCAACAACAATATATATATATATATATATATATATATATATATATATATATATATATATATATATATATATATATATATATATATATATATATATATATATATATATATATATATATATATATACAAGGTCTGACAGTTAAGTAATGAGACTGATTTTATTATGGCCAGTTAAAAAATGCCATCTATGGAAAAAAGCATGGAATCTAAAAAAGCAACATTAATCTATGATCTAGCAACTTTTCATCACCGCTCGATAAGCAGACAACAAACAAGCCACTATTTTGTTGACCTAGTCAGAGGTGCATTGTTACATAATCAGCACAGAGAAAAAAGCTAACATTAAATTCTTTTTAAAACTAAGAGAAAGTACCATTGAAAAAAGTCAATTGATGCAACAAGTTTATGGGGATAATTGTTTACCTCATGCACAATTTTTCAGGTGATTTTCACGATTCAAAAATTGTGTGGAAATCATTACTAATGCACTTAGACCTGGACACCAAATTTCTGTTTGTTATGATAAATTCATTGCAAAAGTCAGAGAACAGATACAAGAAGATCCTTGTTTTACTGCAAGGATGACGGCAGATGAATCTGGTGTTAATAGAGAGACCATTCATAACATTTTTGTGGAAGATTTTGGCAAGAAAAAAGTTGCTTGCCGGTTCGTACCACATTTGTTGTCTGATGACCAAAAACATCAGCGGATTGAGTACACAAGAGACATCATCAAAACAAGAAATTTTGGTCCAAAAACAAGTGTGTGTTCTCAGCCTTCCACCCTATTTCCCAGATTTGTCTCCCTGTGATTATTTTCTATTCCCCAAATTAAAGTTAGGATTAAAAGGACGCTTTTTTAACAATAGTGATGACATCCAAAGGGCTGTAACATAGACTTTAAGGGCCATAACAACAGAAGAACTACAGAGATGGTTCCAGTGTTTGTTAGATCGTGCTACTTGCTGTATCAATGCACAAGGGGCTTACTTTGAATCAGATACAGGTTATATCTTTAACTGCTGATTTTTTAAATTTTTATGGAATTAGTTTTATTACTACATTGTCAGACCTTGTATATATATATATATATATATATATATGCGACAGTAAGGGACATTTCATTTGATTTGCACTGGCACAGGAACTGAGGAAGTATGAGGAAACCTGTTTCCAATGAAGTTGAAACCTCTACTAAGACTAATAATTAATGACCCAGCCACACATCCTGAGTCATATGGTCCTAGTCCTGTATGTTTTTTGAGGAATGAGCACTCGATGGGTCATGTAGTCTGCTATCTTTATGCTCTGTAACATTTTCTAGTATCCATTTCAGCCCTAGACTGACCCTTGAATATCAAGCCAGTTTAGAAACTTGCCACTCTGTGAAGTTAAACCAGTGACCAGTGACCAGTGAACAAATGACAAGTGTGCTGGCATGGTTATAGAATACTAATTGCTTAAAAAAATATATATATGGATCCAGCACCCAATGGGGTTATGGCCGTATTATCATCCGTATTATTATATGCATATATTTTATTTTAAACTGTTTTGATAATTATTGTTAAGTATCAGTGTGTTTTTAATTTTATTGCACCTCTTTACATCATCTTAGGTTTTGGAAGGGCATGTACAACCGGTTTGAGAATGGACTTCAGCCACGAGAGCATATCATGGAAATCATTAGTGCAGCCAAAGACCATAGTTCATCTCTAGAGGACCATGCCCAGCTGCTGGAAAAGGTATGTTACTGTTAACAAGTGTAAAGTCGATAGTATTGATTTCATTTCACCAGGTTTAACCCCAACTGGCTCTGGAGCAGAATGGATAGTTTTCTGCTGAGAGCATCACACAAAGCTACAAGTAGGTGCCTTGTTTTCTGCTGAGAGCATCACACAAAGCTACAAGTCTGTGCCTTGTTTTCTACTGAGAGCATCACACAAAGCTACAAGTCTGTGCCTTGTTTTCTACTGAGAGCATCACACAAAGCTACAAGTCTGTGCCTTGTTTCCTACTGAGAGCATCACACAAAGCTACAAGTCTGTGCCTTGTTTTCTACTGAGAGCATCACACAAAGCTACAAGTCTGTGCCTTGTTTTCTACTGAGAGCATCACACAAAGCTACAAGTCTGTGCCTTGTTTTCTACTGAGAGCATCACACAAAGCTACAAGTCTGTGCCTTGTTTTCTACTGAGAGCATCACACAAAGCTACAAGTCTGTGCCTCCAGTTACAGCCCATGAAATTGTTTTTTAAACTAAAGCAAACTCAGAGTGAGGCAAACAGCTTAACCAAGGAGACTAACTGTGAATTAATAGGGGATTTCCATGGCAAAGTGTCAGCCCTTTTGCCTTGTGCTCTGAAGGTCATGGAATCATTGCATGAACTGCAGCGTTAGGTTCATGAGTGCATTTTTTACAGCCTCTTGGGGATTAATACTTGAGCTTGTACTATGTACAAACGCATGAACGAACAAATGAATGAGTGACTGAACAAATGAAAGAATGAACGAACAAATGAATGAGTGAATGAAGGATTGAAGGAATGAATGAAGGAATGAATGAACGAATGAACGGACAAGCGAACGAATGCAGCTTTAATTGTTAAGGGTCACAAAGCTATAGCAGGTGGCTATCTATTCTGTGGAGAGACTGAGCCATATGGGATCAAATCTGGTGCAATGAAGTCGATCCTCTGGGCTTTAACTTTCAGCTTTTATTGTTTCTTGTATGCCTCTTGTGTGTCTTCTGGTAGATATCTTTTGCAATCTGGGAGCCATGATGGTTCAACGACTTGATGTTTGCATACTGGGTGAAAGGTATTAGGTTGAATCTAAACAAGGGTAGATTGAAAATATATTGACCTATGGTTATCAGATGACATCAGCCTATAAAGGGAAAGCAGGAAATACCATGGGAAGTAAAGGTGGCCAGCATGATGTTGATCACATTACCCATTAAATGCTGACTGGTCTACAGTAATGTTGGTCATGAACAGGGCTTTTTGTTCTGATAGTACACAGTACAGACACTTTTTTTGTAGGCATTTGTTTGCAGTGCTGCTTGATTAACACTTTATAGTGAGTACTGGCACCTTTTTTAGACACCTTATGGTGAGTACCGGCACTTTGTTTTTGTTTAAAAAAAATGAAGGGTCTGTCCATGAGGCAGATATATTGGATATAATGCACTAGTCTTATAATTGTATAGACCATGTCACCATTGTGTTATTTAATCAAAAGCATGCTGACTCCCTTTAATTTATGAAACAATTCCTATTTAGAATTGGTATTCATTGAGCTTAGTTTATTTAACAATCACCCCCTTGGGGAGGATCATCAGGCTGGCAATAACGTTTGCCAGCCTCTGTAGTTCTGCGAAACCTGTTTATATTAGTATATCACTTATATCTGTATGTGAATCTGGGTATGTTAATAACAATATTACCCTAAGTTTATGAAATGTTGAATAGTGCAGATTTATGTTTGCATTTATTTTTTAGTTTGGGATTGCCCATAAACATAGCCATTTGGTTGCAATAGAATTATTATATAAAACTCCTGAGAATTAGTATTTTTCTGTTTTAGGTAAGCTTTATCATATTTAATATTCTTGGAATTCTGTTTCATCACAGTCAGTATGTATCTATGTTTTTTTTTTTCACAACCAATTTTCATTGTTTGAGTTTAGTTTTATTAGAGTCAATATTCATCATTTGGGTTAAGCTTTATCAAACACACTATTCTTTTATTGAATTAAGTTATATCAGATTTATGATTTATAATTTAGGTCAAATAAATCAAACACACTGTTCTTTCATTGAATTAAGTTATATCAGAGTCAATATTCATTGTCAAGTTCAACATTAAAGGAAAATTTATACTTAGAGTTTGTCATACTCTTTTTCCTCTCTTTTTATAGTCTGGATAACTTTCATCTAATCAGTATTCACTGTTTGAGGAGATTTGTAAATTATCTAAATATGTATATTATCTTTTTTCAAGGCAGGATGTTTGATGTTTCCATCGGCATCATCCTACACATCTGATGCATTAATTCCTTTTTGTATTCCACACAGAGAGTCACCCAGATATGCAGGCTTCTTGGGAAATCTGATGAAACTATTTATAGAAAACTACAGGGCTTTCCTTCCATGGATTCTATAGATGGCTTCCTAAGCAGCCATATTGGTGATGCATCTATCATATCCAAATCTTCCTACCAAGATGACAGTTTTCACAAACGTCCTTCAGACACTGACTCCCATTTCATTGGTCGATATCTTCATTTAGATGGTCTGACCAGCAATCATGTAAAAAGCGACTCTGAATCCGGCTTTGATGAATCCAGTTCTCAGATGTCTAGGTCTGGATTTGACGATGGGGGATTTTACCTTGGAATGGATGCATCCACAGTTAAAAGGTCGCACAGTGCAGACCACATCACCATGGAACAGCTGATTACAGAGATGAAGAGTGTGGCGATTGTTTGGAAGTCTTTCTGTAAAGTTCAAACCTGCTCCTGTGCCACTCCATTGGAATATCATGTGAAGAAGGTATACTGTCAATTTATCCATGTCTGAATCACTTTTTTATTTAGGAAAAACAATTTTTAAACATCTTTTCTAAAAGAGCAACCAAGAGGTTTTGAAAGAGGTGGGAGCCTGAAGACAACTTATCACAGACATCAGAAGGAGACAGTCATCATTTTCGGCCATGTTATGAGAAAAGGGAAAGTAGAACATGTTGTGACCACTGGAAAGATCTGTGGAAGGACGGATAGAGGAAGACAACGAGAGAAGATTTTTGACAGTCTTGTTGCATGGCATGGAGGTGCGTCAGCACACTATCTGATACATGCTGAGGGAGATCGCGGATTGTGGAGAGGCATGATCGTCCACGCCAGTTGGCAAGACACCTGATGATGTTGATTGTTCCTCATAATTAAATGAAAAACAATTTAAGTAAAATAAAAATAAATAATTCTTGTATGTATGTTAACCCTTTCATCTTATAAAATGACCCTTTTCACATTTCGTTAAAAATGAGAGCATTCTTACATTTCTGTGAAACTGTACACTAAGAAACTAGATGAAAAGAAGAAGCAGAAGAAATTTGAAGGCTTGGGCGGGTTTCCTAAACACCCAGGGATTGAAACCTGATAAAAAGAAGTACTTCTTTATGATTCTCCAGAACTCTAAGCTAAGAAACTAAAAAAAGAAAAGCCGAAACAAATCTGGAGCCTTGGGCAGTTTCTATAAACATCCAGGGGGTCGAACTTCTAAACCATCAAGCAGACAAGCAAGCATCGCGGCCATCAGATCACTAAAATAATTTATGTTCTTCTTCTTCTTTGCGTTCACCAGCTGTAAACTGGCAGAAAGTTCTGGTTGTTCATTCACTTGGGGGGCTGCAGTCGTGTTCCAGAACCTGAGTGTGCATCCATTTTACAGATCTGACTCATTTGTATGCAGACTGCTGGTTTCTTGCCTCTCAGGCAGATGCACTCTGACTTTGAAGGAAGCTCCCAGTTAGTTGACTCTTACGACATGCTTTTGGGCAGGAAGTAGGTCTGTTCTTCTTTTCCCTATAACAGGGCTTCAGAACCCACACAGGGAACAATTTATGGTAATTTCAATTATTTAATTTGTTGTGAATTTTTTTTTTCAAGTAAGGGAATTAATCAGAAATATAAACAGAGCAAAAGAATTAACTGCTTTCCTTCCCTTCTACCATGATACATGTGGTTTTGTTGACTTTGCCACAGGAAGCAAAGTGAAGTCTCTTATAATTATTATTAAGTACGGATAATGTCACAATTTTTTTTAATTCAATTTTTTCACAGTCTTTTTAAATTCAATTTTTTCAACACTAATATCTGTATAGATATAGTCATACCCACCATGTGTACACACTACATACTGCAAAAATTATTATTTAGGTATAGTGGTTACTGACCAAAGAGTTCATGACATCAAACACCCATAAATGTCAGGAAAAAAAACAGCTCTCTTGGGGTGACAGCATTAAGAACTTCATAAACCATCCCCAGCATTTATTGGTTGTTGTGTGGTTTGCCCAGGCAGTTTTACATTCAGTTGAGAGCCAAGGTCTTCTTCTTCTGTACGTCCTCTTTTACCGCTTCTGGTGTTGAGGGAGATATAAGGTCCCTCTTCCTGCTCTTCTGTCTGTAAAGTTTCTCTGATGTTATCTTCCCATCTTGTTCTTGTTCTTGCTCTACATCCCTCTCCTCTTTTGGTATTTGTTTTGTATGGTATAGCACCATTCTCTACAAGTGGGCAAACCATTTGATTTGTTGTCTTTGCATGTAATTTAGAATTGGTTTTGTTATGACTTTATCTTGTATGACCTCATTCCTGATTTTATCTCTTCTGGTCTCTCCTACAGTCTTTCTCAGACACCTCATCGTGATGGTTACTAATTTTCTTTTATGTTTTGTAATGAGTGAACATGTCTGGTACTGGTAGCATAGAGTGGGAATGAATATGCTATGTATGAGAAGTCTCTTTGTGCTGATTGGGATTGCCTTATGCTGTAAGAGAGGTGTTAGCTGTCCCAATACTTCGCCAGCTTTACTACATTGGATGTCAGTTTCTTCGTCCTATTTACCATTTTCAGTGAATGTTGTTCCAAAATATTTAAACTCAGACACCTGTTTAATATACTTTATATATTTTAGAGCCGAGGTTATTTGTAATAAAATAAAATAGCACTATGCTGATTTGAACAAAGGGCAAGCAGCTCACCCTGCAGTACAGCTCCAACGAAGACAATGGTCCTGGTTTCATCTGAAGAGTTAAGTCCCCTACTATAATTATACCTTTTGTGGTACAAATGTACAAACACTGGACCCAGAACTTGCTGAATTTTTAAATGTGAAAGTGGTTTATAATCATGAGTTTTGTAAGCAGCAGCTTGAGAATTAGATTCAAATATTTAACCCATTGTTTGAGTGAGACAATAATAGGCTCTCTTTAACTCTTTGAGTCCCAGGGGGCTCAGCATCACAGGCTCAGGGGGTAGTAAATATTCATAAAATCGGCGCATCATGCATTCATTAGGCTTCTAGGTAGGAGCCTTTGAACGTATGATGTGTTCCTTGGGACTCAAAGAGTTAAGCTCTGTTTGCTGTATTTTACTAAACTTTTAAATGACTTTTATGTCACATGACTTCCCCCCCCCCCCTCCCAGGGAGAGAGAAGGGGGGGGGGTGGGGGGGGGTTTAGCATCAGAGTGGTGGTACTGCAGTTTGGAAATGTCACAAATGTAACACATTAAAACAGACCATACTAATTCAACTCCTGCGCAACATACACAAATTATACATCAAGGTGACCAGGAATTGTTGAGGAAGAATATTAGATAAAAAAATAAATTGTGTCAACAGTTAATTACAAGTAAATAATTATAAAGCTCACAAACATGCTTTTTTTATGCTTTTAACCATGTTTCTGAATAAGCCTAAGGGTCAACACATGTGACATTGAACACAAAGAGCAGGAAATATCATCACACGCTTATTGGGCAGCTGGGCAGTAACTGATTAGCGTGATGCGTTCATTTAGACTCAAAGAGTTCATGTTTCACTCCTTGAAGACTGGAACTGTATTGCCCTGTCAAATTTTGTTAATTTTATAAACCTCCATGGTGTTTATTCCATGCCTCTAGATAAGACAAAGAATTATCATAAAATTGTCTTGATGAATCTAAACAACTTGCCACTGTGATTTCTCCATCTTCAGCTAACTGATCAAGTAATTTTTTTTTTTTTTAATGAATCGAGCAGAAAATCACCATGTGGAAACTAAAATGGGAAATAGAAGGATTTAGGAAGTGAGGACGCCCAAAAAACAACAACTATAAAACGAACATTGATGAGAGAAGCCAAAGGTACTTGAGTGAATTCCATCCACGAGCTCTGCACAACTTGGTGGAATACTGATGCATGATAAGGCAGACGTGGTTAGTGCCTTGTTGAAGAGCTTGTAGAGTTTGGAGGAGCAGATGGATCACCAGTCTGGTGAGATTAATGCAGCTGGGAGTGATGAGGGGTTCTTGCAGATGCTCGAGGCTCAGAGGAAAAGCAAGACTGACGTTTAATCAGAATGCTATTGGCACCATTAGTATCAGAACTCTACACTGGCTGCTGAAGATGGGGACGGAGCACTTATGGTAATGCCTCGAGTTCTGTGATGTCAGTTCTTGAATCAGCTCAACCCAACTCATTCCATCCATAGTTGATTTCATAGGATAGAATGGAATAAAGAAATAGACTATGAGTCTTATGTGACATATAATTGCTCAACAAAACAACCATGTCTAACATGCACAAGTCAATAGCATCTTCATAATCACTAATGCTCTGAATAATGAGTAACAGTTTTTGTTTAATACTTTACAGTTCCACTGCTGGAAGTGTGGAGACATATTCTGCATTCGTTGCATTGCCAAGAAAGTTCCTTTGCCAGGGCATTTTCACCGCAGACCTGTTCCAGTCTGCAAGCCATGCTACAAGGAGATTATGAAGTTGCAAACCAGTTGACCAAACTATCACATTTGAAATCAAAATGTGTAGGGACATTTGTGTAATCTGTTACTGTCAGCTTGTAATTTTACGCAGTCGTTAGTTCGATTCCATTTTGATGTCTTTCAATTTTTATTTTAAAAATACTTGTTAATTGAAATATAAATTGTCTTTTGTTACCGGCTATTTGTTCTTTTCTAAATTAATTTAATATATCTTCTTCTTCTTTGCATTTGCCTGCTGTAAATTATGGTGGAAAGTTCTGGACTTAGACTTGTTCTGAGGGCTTATGGCTATGAGTTGGTTCTTAACTCAACTTGTTAAAGATATAGACTTAATTACGCTTAAGAATATCTGTCTAATATTAATCATGTTTGCAAATATGCGGGCCGTTTTTCAGTCAAATTAGTTTCTGTCATTCTATTTAGCATCATATCCATATGTTTGCAGTCTAAAATCTTAGTTATCTTGGTACATTTAACCCCCCTCCTCCAAATTTTTTTTAAAACAAATGTTTATGTTTATGTTCACATTGTATCTTTTTCTTAGAGATTTTATTAACACATGCCTGATTGTTTCCTAGTAAACTTTGCCATCTGTATCAGATTTTACAACCTAAAAAATGCTATTTTGTTTAATTCAAGTACATTTGAAGCAAACTGATTGGCTAAATGAAATTGACATTTTGTACAATATATCCATCTTAGGAAGAGATTGGGAAAAGAATTCTCGCGTGCTTTATAGATTTAACATGTAGGTGTGAAGCCTGGACAATTAATACAAAAGCCGGACAATATCTTGAGGATTTAGAGATGTGGTTTTTTTCAGAAGAGTCCTTAGAATTCTATGTACAGCTAAGAAGAGCAACCCAGATGTTTTGAAAGAGGCAAGTACTCAAAGACAACTTATCACAAACGTCAGCAAGGGACATCATTTTTTGGTCATGTTATGAGAAGAGGGAAAATGGAAAATTTTGTGACCACTGGAAAGATCTGTGGAAAGGAAGACAGTGTGAGAAGATTCTTGACAGTCTTTTGTTATGGCATGGAGGTGTGTCAACACACAAACTGATATATGCAGCTGCAGATCGCAGATTGTGGAGAGGCATGATCGACCATGCCAGTCAGCAAGGCACTTGATGATGATATGTTTAGAATTATACCTTTTCTGTGTGGGTTCCTGGGCCCTCTTGGGGGAGGGGGGTGACCCACTTCCCCCATAATTAGCATTTTATAAAAGTTGACTTATTAGGGATGATTCCCTTGATGTCAGAGTGCGTCTGTCTGGGAGGGGAGGAACCAATAGTCTGCATGCAAATAAGATGAACAAAAAGAAGATACTGTCTGAATTTGAAACTAACTGAGATGGTGGCAGGAAGAAATATGTGGGACTATTTAGATGTGTGGGAGTTGCTGTGTAACAGATAGACACTCACCTGCAGATTGGAAGTTCTTGGGTTCGGAGCATAATGGAGTTGAACCTTTTTTTTTTAATGACCTTGGCTCCCAGCTTAACCCAGCCTTGAGTGAGTACCAGGCACAGTTCTGGAAAGTAAAGGTTGCCAGCTTAACCCAGCCTTGAGTGAGTACCAGGCACAGTTCTTGAAAGTAAAGGTTGCCAGCTTAACCCAGCCTTGAGTGAGTACCAGGCACAGTTCTGGAAAGTAAAGGTTGCCAGCTTAACCCAGCCTTGAGTGAGTACCAGGCACAGTTCTGGAAAGTAAAGGTTGCCAGCTTAACCCAGCCTTGAGTGAGTACCAGGCACAGTTCTGGAAAGTAAAGGTTGCCAGCTTAACCCAGCCTTGAGTGAGTACCAGGCGCAGTTCTGGAAATTAATGGTTGCCAGCTTAACCCAGCCTTGAGTGAGTACCAGGCGCAGTTCTGGAAATTAATGGTTGCCAGCTTAACCCAGCCTTGAGTGAGTACCAGGCGCAGTTCTGGAAAGTAAAGCCCCCCTTCCACCCCCACAATGGGGCCCAGGAAACCAACACGGGGAATGTAACGATCACAATCAGTATAAAAAATGTCAATTGCCAACCTTCTTCAGGACATAACAAGCCAGCCCCAGCATTTGTTGGGCTGTGTGTTTTTACTAAGGTAATTTACTTATTTTATTATCTGAATGGTTCAATAATCTGCAACTAAAATGCTAGTAGGTTGCTTTGAACACAAAGATATCAAGAATTATGAACTTATGCTCATAAACCCTACATCCCATATGACATCTATAGGCAAACATAAATCCACACATGAGTAAGCACTCCAACTCCTAAAAACAGAACTGTTAACAGTTGAAGGAGGTTATCACATAACTTTTTTAAAGTGAGGAGCGTTTCTGCATCCTTTCGACTTATAGGCACATGGTAATAGATCCATATTAACTTCTCAGAACTAATTGTGGGCTATCCTCTGAATAACGGCCCTAAATTATCGAGGCGGAAAATAAACCCTAACAGGGCCTCAGTCACGTGTCAATAGCGCACTTCCGGGGACTATAACGCCACTGCCAAATCGCAAACTTCCGGCGACTTCGCCACCGCCGAGAGTATCCACCAGGCCGCCCACACGGCATGGATTGGGGCTAAACTAGATGGCTAGGACTCACGAGCAAATAAATAAAATGAAGGAAGCTGCAGGAGATGCGGTAGCTGCTGCTCGTGAGTCCTAGCCATCTAGTTTAGCCCAATTCATGCCGCTTGAGCGGCGTGGGGAATACTCTAGGCGGTGGCGGAAGTCGCCGGAAGTTCATGATTTAAGACGATGGAAGTGTGCAATTGACACATGACTGAAGTCCTGTTAGGGTATATTTTCCATCTCGATAATTTAGGACCGTTATTCAGGGGATAGCCTAACATAATTCTGACTGGTTTACTTTTTAGGACATTTCCTGTTAACCATTTCAGGCTGGGTTGAGCTGGGAGCCAAGATCGTTTTATAGAATTTCTCCCTGATGCAGATTCAAAACTGCAGACCTTCAGACAAGAATCTAGCCACAACGCTAGTGGATCCCTATCAGGTTAATCACATCAGTTACAATCAAAGTTTTAAGGGAGACCAGCAAAAACACTTTCACTTCTTGAATTCAGCCCTCATTTGTGACACCAGTGAGTGAAATTGATTGCCACTAGGACCACACACTAAGTGATATGACCCGATGACCCAAAGAGTCTTATTCAGATGAGAATCGCCCAGGTACAAGTCCCTGAAACCCTGTTCAGTTGTAACGTCCCCCCCCCCCCCCCCCCCCCCCTTCCTCCACCCCAGTAGTTACAAAATAACCTGAAACCAGGATAGGATACAGCAACTTTGTTAATGTGATAGTTCAGTCAGTTAATAGTTGACAGATGTTGGCTTTGTAACAACTACATGCTAAACCTGCCACTCAAAGTTGAGTCAAAAGAAGAAAGAAACAGCGAAATATTTATTAAATAATTTGTTTGCAATTTCAAATGGAGTTTCAAATATTCCTAATACTTTGTTTTGATATTATTATGTACTGTTATTAACTGTTGTGGATGTTTTGTCCTGGATATGCTGGAGTCTATGTAATGTTTAAATATGTTGAGGTTGTATGACTGTGGATATGCTGGAGTCTATGAATGTTTAAATATGTTGAGGTTGTATGACTGTGGATATGCTGGAGTCTATGTAATGTTTAAATTTAAATATGTTGAGGTTGTATGACTGTGGATATGCTGGAGTCTATGTAATGTTTAAATATGTTGAGGTTGTATGACTGTGGATATGCTGGAGTCTATGAAATGTTTAAATATGTTGAGGTTGTATGACTGTGGATATGCTGGAGTCTATGAAATGTTTAAATATGTTGAGGTTGTATGACTGTGGATATGCTGGAGTCTATGTAAAGTTTAAATATGTTGAGGTTGTATGACTGTGGATAAGCTGGAGTCTATGTAAAGTTTAAATATGTTGAGGTTGTATGACTCTGGATGTATAAGAATCAATTAATTATTTACAGCTGTTGTGGACGTGTGGTTCTGGATACAAACCTATGAATTATTTAAAACCATTTGGATGCACGACCCAGGATCTGCAAGAATCCATGTAATCTTTAAAACTATTGTGAATATATAGCGCTTGATGTGCAAGAATCCATGTTTATTTTTTGTGGGGAGATATGGTCGTGAATATGGCGGAATCCATGAATTGTTTGAAACTTATGGATGTACTGCTCAGGATATGCAAGAATCTATGTTGTTTTTTCATCTTTTGTGGTTGTTTGCAAGAATCTTTAAACTGTTATGAATGCATGGCTCTGAATATGCAAGGAACCATGTAATGTTTACACATGTTGTGGATGTTTGCAAGAATCCATGAACTGTTTCAAACTGTTGTAAGAATGTATCACCTGGATATGCAAGAACAGATTAAGTGTTTGCAACTGTAGTGGGTGTATCACCTGGATATGCAAAAATGAATTAAATATTCGCCACTGTTGTGGAAGTATCACCTGGATATGCAAGAATAAATTAAATGTTTGCAACTATTGTGGAAGTATCACCTGGATATGCAAGAATAAATTAAATATTTGCCACTGTTGTGGAAGTATCACCTGGATATGCAAGAATAAATTAAATGTTTGCAACTGTTGTGGGTGTACGGCTGTGAAATGCAAGAACAGATTAAGTGTTTGCAACTGATGTGGATGTACGGCTGTGAAATGCAAGAATAGATTAAGTGTTTGCAACTGTTGTGGATGTATGTCTGTGATTTGCAAGAATAGATTAAGTGTTTGCAACTGTTGTGGATGTACGGCTGTGAAATGCAAGAATAGATTAAGTGTTTGCAACTGTTGTGGATGTATGTCTGTGATTTGCAAGAATAGATTAAGTGTTTGTAACTGTTGTGGATGTATGGCTGTGAAATGCAAGAACAGATTAAGTGTATGAACTGTTGTGGGTGTATGGTTGTGAAATGCAAGAATAGATTAAGTGTTTGCAACTGTTGTGGGTTTATGGCTGGGAAATGCAAGAATAGATTAAGTGTTTGCAACAGTTG